CTCCTCTCCTCTCCTCCCCTCTCTTCTCCTCCCCTCCCCTCCTTCCCTTCCTCTCCTCTCCCTCTCTCTCTCTCTTTCTTTATGTGTGTGTATATGTGTGTCCTGTGTCTGTCCTACCCTTTAAACGATTAGCTCTCATACATGATGCTCTGTCCTGGAATTCTCTCTCCTGCATTTTGAAGCTTATATGCCAAGACAGTTATTCTAGACTTGGTGACTAAATTTGAATGCACTTCCTGTCTTTTTCTGACACCAACCCAGAGCCTTCAGTCGTGTCCTGCTGCCAGCTGGGTCTTTGTAGATGGAAGAATTACAACGTCCATCTCAGGATGTTCCATTTGATCACTTGTTTGGCCCCACTTGGGGACTACCTGGAGCCCTGTGTCTTCCTTAACTGCTCGGGGCAGAGCTGCCCTCTAGGACTGGAACAGTGGGAGGAGAAACTGGGTGTTCTTTATGTTAACTTTGTTCAGCACTTTGTCATAATGTCTTCTCGCCAGCAACTGTACACGTGGTTGGTGCATTTGTTTAAAAAAAAAAATCTACGACTGTTTCATTCCTTCTCCTCCATCATCACTAGTAGCTCAGCTCCCTCAGCACACTATGTAGATGCAGCTGTATAATATTTGGAGATAATAATTTAGGTTTTATTTTTCCTGCTAGCATTTCTCCTTTCCCTTTTCCCTTCCAACTGGACTTTGGTCCTGTGCATGTGGGCCCAGTAGAATTCTGAGGCAGGGCAGAAGTACCCAAGAATGACAGCAAGTTAAAGCCTGGTGCAGTGGCATTCAGAGCTAGAAACCAAATGCAGTTATAGAAAATGCAATTAAGATCATTATTCTGATGGGTCTGTGTACTGAGATCACTATAGCCTCAGGTTCAATTTTAACATCAATACCCACTGCGTATTTGTTTTACCTACTCATTTTTGAAAACGTTCTACAATTTTTTAGGGGAGGGGCTAAGGACGCTTCCTCACTCAGTGGAAGGGTACAGAAGGAAATTAGGGGCTCTGTGCATATCCATTCATACAAATTTATTAATTACTACTGCATGCTAGTACAATCCAAAGTGTAGAGAAATAAGTCATGCACTCCAGTGAGCAGCACAAAGCTGGCAGCTCCCCAAGAGAAGTTTCTAGACAGTCTGAGGACCAACCTTGGGGGGTGTGTGTGTGTACAGGGGGATCTCCCAAGGGAGAGGCCCATTCATCTTTACCTTTTGTTTCCTGTCTCTTCCTTTTAAGCCTTCTTCTCCATGGTAAGCTATTCACCTAATTTTATGGTAGCTGGATTGGAAAAATGGCCTTTTGTGTGAAAACTTGACAAAAGCTTATTTCAGTTTTTCATCTATAAAATAATGAGACAAGATGGGGCGATGACTACAATTGCATGTTATTCTAAAATCCTGAATTATTGAAAACCCCTAAAGAATTGATGCCTCTTATGCACATTCAAATTTCCTCATCAAAGATTTTAGTTAATCTAATTAGTGATGTCCAAATTAAAAAAAAAAGAATGGAGGTAGGTGGATCAGTACCGACAGCCTGGCATCTCTGCACTCTGGAATGTCAATTCCTGACTCTGGAATGTCATGGCCCCGCTACCTGGGTCACACTTGGGGATTCAGCATCTGCTGCCCTGTGTTGGGCTCCTGGTGGGCAGCGGTAGGACCTGCCACATCTTCAGTCTGCCAGGCGTAGTCTAAGGTGGTGGCTGCTCAAAGCGGATGGTTTTCACCATCACCTGGTGAGCTTTGAAAATAAAACAAATGGCCCACACAGAGAGAAAGACTTCCAGGCCTCATGCCCAGATGTTCAGATGCTGCAGGTCTAGGCTGTGGCTCAGGAATCTGCAATTTTTGAACATTTCCTAGGTGATATCGATCAACAGCCACGTTAGAGAGCAAACAGTCTGAACCTAATTGAAACCCTCTCTGTGTATGTGTCTGCGCCTGTTTATAATCCCGCACAAGAGCTTTAGTGCCTTTCTGCCTATGAGGTTTCAGCACCATATGCAATCTCTGATCTGGGTTTTCATTGCAGTGAAGGCAAAATCATAGCTTGTAACTCTCTGCATGTTCAGTCCCTACCCCTCAGTGGTACACGGTAGGCCATTGCTAGTTGCTTTACTGAGACTGTGAGAACCAGTTTTTAATGTCCCTGACCTACACAGTGCAGCCTGTCAGCTCGGCAAGTGCGGAAGGGACTTCCTGGCTTCCTCTGAGAACTTTCTTACTGCAAGTCAGTCTATTGATAAGCCCATAGGCCTTTGTTTCACCCTGGGGCGACTTCAAAATTTTCCGGATGATTATCTTTCAATAGTCCTTTTATAGATGGGGATTTTGAGAATTAGAAAATACCTGTAGGCTGATACTTGGTAGAGTTGGAATTTGAGTCTAAGTCAACAGAATGAATTTGGCTTCATGTTAATGCCTGGCTCATAAACCCAATGGGATGTGTTAATATAACACACAGAATTACCTTAATCCTGTGTAACAGGCTGACAAAATTATTACCCAAATCAACTTGTTAAAAAAGTTTTTTGTTTGGTCAAAGGAAGCATTCGTAGAAAAGATGAGAAGGTCGGTGTTACTCATTCAACCTTTACCCCTCTCTCCTAAAACCCAATCTTTGTTATACTACCTCTGAGTTCAGATTTTAACCTCGTATATATTAAGGAACCCTAGCAAATGATCACAGTCTCAAAGGACGAGTCACAAGTAACTCAAACAAAGTAGCAAACGAGTCATCAAATAAAACGTATTTGTGATATATTGATCATTCTTTTTCTCCCATAAATTGTGAAAACAAAAATCGGTCTTAGCTTCTCATTTTAATGAGCTTTCCTACTTTAAATTATGTTTTATGTATTTAAACACCTTTATATACAAAGAAGCAGTGTGCAACCCGTGTGACTTTATACATTTTACACTTTTAAGAAAAAAAGAGAACAATGGGCTTTGAACATCTTAAATTTTACAAAGAAGCTAATCTGAAAGATTTATGAATCAAATGTGTCAAGTGGCCTATTTTTTATTTGAAAATGACAAGATCTAACTCAAGTAAAGTTGGCTTGTAAGAAGAAGGAGTAAGTAACTCTGCCCACCCTATGCTTTCCTGGTTAGGAGGCAGAAAAGATTAACAACCTCCGGAAGAGAAGAGTAAGTTTAACGTATCTTCCCTCATGGAGTAGGTTAGAGCAGCTCATCGCAGGGGTTTAAACTGGTCCATCACCCTGGAAAGTAGAAACAGTGGGTTAATTATGATGTTAATTCTTTTTCATTTGTTTACATAGATTCTTCTCCCTCCTGCTTCCCTTCCCTCTCCTGTCTTCCTCCTGGCCTGTACTGGTTGCCTCCTGAATGTTTTCTATACTTCTCTGACACTGTTTCAGAACTTTAATTTGTCACTTACCTGAGTTGAGTTTGTAGGAGTTGAAGCTTTATTTGGTTTGCATCATTTATGATTGAAAATTATTTTGGTAAGTGGTGCCAGGAGATCAAGGGCTGTGTGTAAAGTCACAGCTAGTAAGTAGAAGAGCTGGGATTTGAACCAAGGAGGCTGAACCCAGAGATGGTGCAACTTTCCTTGGAGCTACGCTACTTCACTGATTTTCATACCACTAGTAAATAGCAATCAGCCCCATTTACTGCACCTTCTAAATGTGGAAATGAACGCATATTTATTCCCCTGTGTTAGACACTCTGTCAGCAACCTTAGGAGGTAGGTTTAAGAAGCACATTTTGCAGATCAGGAACAATTGAGAGCAGATGACTTGGCTGAGACCGCACAGCTGGCGTTTAGACCAGGTCTCCCGGTTTGTATTTAAGGCCTGTTTCCATCTATCATTTCATTTAAGGACTGGGCCAGGCTCAGAGGTCTCAATAAATGCTTTCCACCTGCACTGATGGATGTTGATTGACACATTCTCCATTTAGGCAAGAGGGGGTTAGAGTGACAGATTGAGAAATTAGCTGGCTCAGGTCACTGCCCTAGTAAGCTGGGGAAAAAGGCTGATAGGCCAGGTCCCTCCACAGTGTCCTGTGGGTGGGAATGCTGACCAGCTGAATGAGGGGCAAGTGGCAAACAAGAGAGAAATCCTCGGCCAGTTGATTTGACAAACTGCTGGTCCTGTGGATGTCTTAGTAGTGAGATTTCATGACTTTGAAAATTAACTTTCTGGCTCAGCGCCTGTAGCTCAGCAGCTAGGGTGCCAGCCACGTGCACTTGAGCTGGCGGGTTTGAACCCAGCCCAGGCCTGCCAAACAACAATGGCAACTACAACAATAGCCAGGCATTGTGGCAGGCACCTGTAGTCGCAGCTACTTGGGAGGCTGAGGCAAGAGAATCGTTTAAGCCCAAGAGTTTGAGGTTGCTGTGAGCTGTGACGCCACAGTGCTCTACCCAGGGCAACAGCTTGAGACTCTGTCTCAAAAGAAAAAAAAAAAAGAAAATTAACTTTCTGAGAGTTCAGAAAGAGAGAGAGGGTAAGCAAATAGTAACAATTTCATGAACACAGGTGAAAGTTTTGGGGTGGTCATTGTACTATTCCTTCAACTTTTATGTAGGTTTGAAGTTTTCAACATAAAAAGTTGGAGAAGAAAAGAGAGGGAGAGAAGGAGGGGATGAAGGAAGGGAGGCAGGAAGGAAGGGAGGCAGGAAGGAAGGAAAAAAAAAGAGAACGATGCAGCCTCTGTGGTTCTCAGCGCCCATGCTCTGACAACCATGGATTGTCTTTTGATTTTCAAGTGATTCAGTTGTTAAGGTCACCAAGTAGGGTGTCAGAATAAAAGAAACTCACTGTTCTCACTGCAAAGAGTTAATGTTCTGGGACCTATGGGTTTATTTTATTTTACTTTATTTATTTATTATTATTTTTGAGACGGAGTGTCACTATGTTGTCCTTGGTAGAGTGCTGTGGCATCACAGCTCACAGCAGCCCCAAACTCTTGGGCTTAAGCAATTTCTCTTGCCTTAGCCTCCCAAGTAGCTGAGACTATAGGCGGCCACCACATGCCCAGCTATTTTCTGTTGCAGTTGTTATTGTTGTTTAGCTGGCCCAGGCCAGCCATAGCACCTGTAGCCACTGTGCTATGGGTACAGAGCCTATTTTATTTTTTATTTTAGACGTAGTCTCACTCTGTTGCCCTGGGTAGAGTGTTGTGGCGTCATAGCTCACAGCAACCTCAAACTCTTGGGCTCCACCGATCCTTTTGTCTTAGTCTCCCAAGTAGCTGGGACTACAGGTACCCACTACAAAGCCCCAGATACTTTTAGAGACAGGGTCTTACTTTGCTCAGGTTGGTCTCAGGCAATCCATCCGCCTGAGCCTCCCAGAGTGCTAGGATTACAGGCATGAGCCAGTGAGCCTGGTCTGTCTTTTCAATTCACAGATGATATTATCATGAATTTGAAAAGTAATTATATTTTCAATAACTCCTGCATAGTCAATTTACCATGCAACTGAAATATAGGGAATTGAAGCTTCATTTTATGGTCTAGTAAACATAAATTCATTGTGGATGAATTACAAGATTCAAATGCTTAACATTCTCAACTGCTATTATAAAAATAATTTTGGTGGATTATTAATCAGTAGTTTTCTCTACCCCCTAATGATGTTTATTTTGTGTGTGTATGTATGTAGTGGTAGTAGGCTGTAGTTTTATTTACTATTTTTTTTAAACTTCAGTTTCATATAGGAAAACTCCACTGGAGGATAGTATTTGTTTTGGATCATGTAAACAGTTCACATCACATAAGTACAGTGAGCTAGTCCAAGCATGGGTAGACCAGAAGCCCCTTCTTCCACTGTATGACCTCTGGGATTGTGAGAAAAGATTATTTAATCAATAATCAAGTTCTCATGAAGTCAGCGTCTGTCATTGTTAGCTCTTGCCAGTGAAGGCTAATGTCTTGACTATAGGTCACGAGATCCCCATCCCATAGAGGGTCCTGCCCCACACCCAGAAGGAAGAGACTCTGCCCAGACAGGCCAGGAAGAATCTGGACAGCCCTTGTTATGTTTAAAGATCAAGAGATATAAATGCAATATAAGAGAACTGAAAATTTATGGAACAAAAATTCAACAGGCAGTGACATTTATTTGCAGTATATGCATTTTACTTCTAATTCGAGGGACTTTTATTTATATTTCCATTTTAAAAAATAAGATGTGATTATTAAAATTTTTTGAATACTGTAGGCTAGACAGAAGGAAAAAGTCAATTTTCTTATGCAGAAACAACTATCATTCAACATTTTGGTTGGATTACTTGAGGGTTTTTGTTTCTATTCACAGTGTTGTGTAAACATTTATTTATTTATTTATTTATTTTTGAGATAGAGTCTCACTCTGTTGCCCTCAGTAGAGTGCTGTGGTGTCACAGCTCACAGCAACCTCCAACTCTTGGGCTTCAGCAATTCTCTTGCCTCAGTCTCCTGAGTAGCTGAAACTACAGGCACCCGCCACAACACCTGGCTATTTTTTGTTGCAGTTACCACTGCTGTTTTAGCTGGCTGGGGCTGGGTTTGAACCCGCCACCCTCTGTATATGGGGCCAGCGCCCTACTCACTGAGCCACAGGTGCTGCCCTGAAAATTATTTATTGATAAAATTGTATATTATGTTCAGTTTTTGTATCCTGATCTTTTCAAAGAAACACCATCTCATAAGGATTTTCAATACTATGGCAGTTTGAGGGACAACGTTCTTTTACAATAGGGGGAAATAAAATATAAAAAGAGAAACTTTGGGAGGATCTATGTATAAAAAATTATGTGACATTATAGGCGAGGAGGCTGGAGGGAACTAGGTACACAGGAGACAGAGGTTGGGGGGAGACTTTCTGACTGAATATCTTTATGTCTCTGTGTGTACACATGAGCACATAGTTAATTGTGGAGCTATGTATGTATAATGCTTATTAAAAATGTAAATAAAATGATTGGAATCATTTAAACTTTTGCCAGCCTATTAACATTAAGTGGATAGACCTTCATTTACATATATTTATCTAATCCCCCAATTAAGGAACTCTCAAGTTTGGTTTTTTTCTTATAGATTAGTCTGTGCTTTTAGTAACTATGTGTGTTAATGATTGCCTGATTCGATTGGGTCATTCACTGAAATAATCAGACTGTCTCACTATCCGCAGGTTTTATTTTTTCTATTTTGTTGCAGGTATTTTACAAAATTATTTAGAGATTAAGGCCTGAGTGATCTTTCTTTCTTTCTCTCTCTCTCTCTCTCTCTCT